GACCTCAGAGAGCTTCCTTTACCATATTCATCACCAAGAATGACCTCAGAGAGCTTCCTTTACCATATTCATCACCAAGAATGACCTCAGAGAGCTTCCTTTACCATATTCATCACCAAGAATGACCTCAGAGAGCTTCCTTTACCATATTCATCACCAAGAATGACCTCAGAGAGCTTCCTTTACCATATTCATCACCATGAATGACCTCAGAGAGCTTCCTTTACCACATTCATCACCATGAATGACCTCAGAAAGCTTCCTTTACCATATTCATCACCATGAATGACCTCAGAAAGCTTCTTTTACCACATTCATCACCATGAGCGACCTCAGAGAGCTTCCTTTACCATATTCATCACCATGAGCGACCTCAGAGAGCTTCCTTTACCATATTCATCACCAATAATGACCTCGGAGAGCTTCCTTTACCATATTCATCACCATGAATGACCTCAGAGAGCTTCCTTTACCTTATTCATCACCATGAATGACCTCAGAAAGCTTCTTTTACCACATTCATCACCATGAGCGACCTCAGAGAGCTTCCTTTACCATATTCATCACCATGAGCGACCTCAGAGAGCTTCCTTTACCATATTCATCACCAATAATGACCTCGGAGAGCTTCCTTTACCATATTCATCACCATGAATGACCTCGGAGAGCTTCCTTTACCATATTCATCACCATGAATGACCTCAGAGAGCTTCCTTTACCACATCCATCACCATGAGCAACCCCCAGGAGCTTTCTTTACCACATTCATCACCCTGAGCGACCTCAGAGAGCTTCCTTTACCATATTTATAACCATGAGCGACCTCAGAGAGCTTCCTTTAGCATATTCATCACACTGAAAGACCTCCGAGAGCTTCCTTTACCATATTCATCACCCTGAGTGACCTCAGAGAGCTTCCTTTACCACCATTATCACCAAGAGCGACCTCAGAGAGCTTCCTTTACCATATTCATCCCCATGAATGACCTCAGAGAGCTTCCTTTAGCATATTCATCACACTGAAAGACCTCCGAGAGCTTCCTTTACCACCATTATCACCAAGAGCGACCTCAGAGAGCTTCCTTTACCATATTCATCACCCTGAAAGACCTCCGAGAGCTTCCTTTACCACATTCATCACCATGAGCAACCTCGGAGGGCTTCCTTTACCACATCCATCACCATGAGCGACCTCCAAGAGCTTCCTTTACCACATTCATCACCCTGGGCGACCTCAGAGGGCTTCCTTCACCACGGCCATTTGTAGTCTTCTCCTCCGAATGATAGAGCTCCAGCCACTTGTTTTGAGGCAAAGGGTCTTGGAGGACCGTTCCTCAGACAATGCTGGTCATCCCCTTGTGAGAGCACATGACCAGTTGTGGGGCTTTCACCCTCAATGCTCTCGCTGTCCTACAAGAGTTGGACCGGGACCATTCAAAATTCTATTTCCTGATGGAGTCATCTGCAGACACTTGACCCTCTACACATGGAATCCCCTATAAACGTTCCTCCTGCCATGGCCAGCCCACAAACACCAGGCCGGTGTTGATAAGGAGCATGTACACCTAAAAGCTGCCAGGAATGCAATCCTTTATGTAGCACTCTACTTCCCCTTCCCTTAGCACATTCCCTTTTCTACATGCTTTCAGCACTCCACCCAAGGCATGTGCTGTTTAGGAATGAGGATTTTGCATCTTCTGGTATTGAATCTGCCAGATATTGGTGATTACAGATCTCCGGTCTGACCCAAAGCTCCGCCCCCCCGTGTAAGAAGGAATATCAGATTCATCTCCTTGTCATGTAGTCTCTAGTCCATCTAACGTCGTGTAGTGTGTAGATTGCATTGTATAGATTGTGTCCCCGCCATCATCATGCGGAGCCGACCGCTTTGTACATCGAGAGACTTACAACGTAAAAGTAAAAACATGAAATTGTTCATATAGACCTAAAATATCACCGACCGGTACAAATCACAACCGTTCCCATTCATCTCCCGTTATGTGATGTAGACCCCCCACGCTGACACTTGGGGGTCCCAGAACAATGACACACTGACCCTTGGGGTCCCAGAACAATGACACACTGACAGTTGGGGGTCCCAGAACAATGACACGCTGACACTTGGGGATCCCAGAACAATGACACGCTGACACTTGGGGATCCCAGAACAATGACACGCTGACACTTGGGGATCCCAGAACAATGACACGCTGACACTTGGGGATCCCAGAACAATGACACGCTGACACTTGGGGATCCCAGAACAATGACACGCTGACACTTGGGGATCCCAGAACAATGACACGCTGACACTTGGGGATCCCAGAACAATGACACGCTGACACTTGGGGATCCCAGAACAATGACACGCTGACACTTGGGGATCCCAGAACAATGACACGCTGACACTTGGGGGTCCCAGAACAATGACACACTGACACTTGGGGTCCCAGAACAATGACACACTGACAGTTGGGGTCCAAGAACAATGACACACTGACAGTTGGGGGTCCCAGAACAATGACACCCTGACACTTGAGGGCCCCAGAACAATGACACGCTGACACTTGGGGATCCAGAACAATGACACACTGACACTTGGGGGTCCAGAACAATGACACACTGACACTTGGGGGTCCCAGAACAATGACACGCTGACACTTGGGGGTCTCAGAACAATGACACGCTGACACTCTGGGTTTGGGCCCCTCCATCACGTGTTTCGTCTCTTGTCAGGGTGAAGCGCGTCAGTCACGGGCACCACGAGTGGATTTCCCTGTCGGCGTCGGTTGGTTCCGGTCACCTGGTGGTGGAGAAGTTGCAGTCGGAGAACACATACCAGTTCAGCGTTCTGTCGCAGAACAAGTTGGGAAGCGGGCCCTTCAGTGAGATAGTGACGGCCTCTCCTATTGGTAAGTGGACTTCCTCTGTGTCACTTCCTGTCTCCTGTGCCATCCCCCCCTTTGGTGCTCATTGGTGTGTTCCCGTCACTGGTGGCTCCTCCCCCTTACTCGTCTCTAACTCCCAGCTTAACATTTCCTCCTCTTCAATAATCACTAATCTTTTGGCCTCTCAGGTATCCCCTCCACCACCTTACCTCCACCTGTACCCACCACAGACTCTCGGGACACCCTGACCCCTCCCCGTTACCTGTCTGCCAACGAGACCTCCCGCGGAGTGCTGCTGACCTGGGCCCCGCCCCTGCGGTCCTTCCTCCCTCTGCGCGGCTACGGCCTGGAGTGCAGGCGCGATGAGGGAGCCTGGGAGCTTCTCGACGAGTCCATCCCCACCGCTCAGACGGAGCTCCTCGTTCCCGGGCTGTTTAAGGTGAGACCACTAGGTGGTGCCGGTGTACCGAAAGAAAGACCTAGGAGACAAAGCAATCCAGTCCTCGGTTAAAAGGGGGTATATAGTGTATATATATATATATTGTATCGCTTTACATTTTATAGTCTGTGTGTATATATATATATATAATTTTTTTTTTTTTTGTCAGGTAAATATGTTATTTTGGTAACCGTGACTGCTTTGTAGAGTTCAATAGCTGAAGCTCAGATTGCATGCACAGCTGAACGAGCTCCCAACCTTGCTCTGTACAGAGTTTCACTTAGAGAGAGACGGTCTGAAAGCAAGCAGACTCTGCCGTGCTATCTCTTTAGACAACCCATAACGCTGTGTGATACCGGTGCCACGGCTGCACCATTAAACTTTGATCTGTACAATAAATAGAGCACAGGGAAGGGTTAAAATCCCAGTCGCCCCTCTCCTCCATACGGAACAAGGTCTGACCTGTATTTCCCTCCCCCCTCCGCAGGATTCCCTCTACGAATTCCGCTTGGTGGCGTTTGCCGGCGATTACATCAGCGAGCCCAGTAATTCAGTGAACATCTCCACGTCGGGTGAGTGGGCGGGGCACAACCCGTATACTTAAAGGGGACCTGTAGCGGTTTTGTATATGTTTAACTCCATTGCTGATTACTGAGCTCAGTAGCTCAAGATGAAATTTACACACAGGAGGGAATGAGGGGGAGGAGTGACTTTTTTTGGTATCCTCCTCACTTCCTGTCCTGAGGCCTCCCTCCAGGTTGTTTTTTTTGGGTACTTACCCTCTTTGTTTTTACTGGAGTGCGCCTTTAAATTATGTCTTGTGAGTGGGCAGGGCACAACCCGTATACTTAAAGGGGACCTGTAGTGGTTTTGTATGTTTAATTACATTGCTGATTTAAGGAGCTCAGTAGCTCAAGATGAAATTTACACACCGGAGGTTATGAGGGGGGAGGAGTGACTTTTTTTGGTATCCTCCTCACTTCCTGTCCTGACACGCCTACCACCAGGTTGTTTTTTCGGGTACTTACCCATTTTGTTTTCACTGGAGTGCTCCTTTAAATTATACCTCCGATACAAAGTTGCTTCTGACCACAATCTGAAGCCAAAAATGTGTCTTTTTTTGTAATCCCCGGTGACCTCTCACCCCGGATCATGACGGGGGGATTAGGTCTCTGAGTGCCGGCACGGAGATATTTTAAGCGCAATCCCCGAATAAACTAACATTGAATTTGTTATGACGGATCTGAGATTACGGGAGAAGATATTTCCATATGTGGAATTCATGTTACATTTCTTCTCACTGTGCAAATCCCGGTATTAAAATCCAGTGTGAACAGAGCGTCCGGCTGGAAATGTCTCCCCTACACAAAACTATACTCTCAACACCTAAAATGGAACTCCGGCTTTGCCTCCAGTCTTGCACAGTTGTACCGGTGTTCTGTTGAGATGTCCAACTTGTCGAGATCTCCAACTCCCGTCGGTGCACCCAGCGTTCTCAGTATCACGCTCTCTAATTTGCATTAGTGCGCCTGTGCGGGTACCCAAGAGCAGTATCAAGTTCTCTAATGTGCGTTCCCCGATGGCACAAGGCACTGACGCCAGTTGGAGAACTCGATGAGGACGGCGAGGCCCCCACTTGCGGCAATTGGGGAACTCGACGAGGCTTGTAAAAATGCCACGCGTACTAGCGACATCTCATCGAAATCTCCAACGGATGTGACATCATGAGTCGGGGTCAATACAAAGAATGTCCCATCGCACTCTAGACCGGCAAGAAAACCCTGAGGTCGGGTGGGTGCTGCAGTGACGGTGTTCTATCGAAAGCTCCAACTCATCGAAATCTCCAACTTCCTCACTGCCGGGTACTCCCAAGTTGGAGATTTCGACCAGACGGCGTTAGACTGCAAAACACAAAGACTGACGGAGCTTCTGTGCAGCTGCGGTTTAACAATATGCAGCAGGTGGCAAACTCGACGAGCATTCTGAAAACGCATGCGCACCGCAACTGTACAGAGCTCCAGTCTTTCTGAGCCCTGGAAGTGAGGTAGTTGGAGATTTGGATGAGTTGGAGCTTTCGATAAAACAACGGCAGATGCCTCTGCAAGTCACATGAAATCGATAGAAAGTCACTCGCACTCCAGAAATGGATGTGATGTGAGTCGGAGATCTCGACGAGTTGGCCTTTTCAACAGAACACCGCCTCCGCCGCTCCCGGACTGAAATTGTTACCTTTCTGTTCTTGGGGTCCAGACTTTAACGGCTTCCTATTGCTTCCAGGGATGAGGGTCTACCCCGCGCACACAGAGCTCCCGGAGGTTCAGCAGAAATCCCTTATGGCAGGGGTCGTTGGAGGAGCCTGCTTCCTTACCCTGGCGGTCATCCTAAGCACCATAGTTGCCTGCATGATGAACCGACGGAGGGTCAGACGTCGCCAGAAGAGGAGGCAGCAAGGTACGCCGGGGGGGTAGAGCTGGCAGTATAGGTAGAGGTGAGATGGCCTTACCGGGGGGGGGGG